GGTCTAGAAACATGCAGATATCTAAAAACTCAGAGAAAGTTTCTGCCTTGCAGTGACTGAAGTCAGAATCTTGGCCGTCAGAGTAGGTTTTCCTATCAAGCAAACAAACAGGAAAAAAAAACCAAACCAAAACAAAACAAAAAAAACGATAAGCAGGCTGCCCAAATGATGCTTGATGTGTATAAGATTTTATTCATTTATTTGAAAGACAGAGTTAAAGAGAAGGGAAGAGAGAGCTCTCATCTGCTCTCCCTAAATAGTAGCAATGACCTGTGCTGGGCTAGGCCAGAGCCAGAAGCCCCATCCAGTTCTCCCCCATGGTGCAGGTGCCCAAGAGCCTGGGCTATCTTCCACTGCTTTCCCAGGCACATTAGCAGGGAGCTGAATCAGTAGTGGAGCAGCTGACACACAAACTGGTGCCTATATGGGATGCCAGAGTTAGAGGCGTAACGTACTGTACCACAGTGCTGGTCCCTGCCCGTCTGTTTCAGCCCAAGGGACCCTGTGAGCAGTTAGCTGCCACGCCAAACCTCTGCAAATCAGAGGCTTCTGATCACTGCTGCATCCTGGCTGCCCGACTTCACCCTGCCACTCAGCCTGTCTCCAGGGATCCCAGCGTGTCCTCCTGTCATTGTGCCCAACACAGGTGTCGGCTTCCTAACATGTTGCTCAGTGACCTGGTGAGAGGACTGTCCCCTGGGTTCTCTGAGGGACGAAGCTGGGAAGAGCTGGGTGGCATGCCACTGCTTCATCTCCCTCAGCCCTGGGGTTCCCTCCTCCACATGATGTGGGGGCAGCATTGGCACCTCCCCCTCATTCAGCATGGACGACCACTGAGGCTGTGAGTGTCCACTGAAGTACAGAGCCCTGCTCAGATGCTGTCATGCATGTGCCCGCAAACTAGAAGTGAAGGTGCACTCATAAACTTGATTTTAAAAATCTTTGTTGATATATTGAGATTTGTTTTGAAGGCGGACAGAATCGGCGATCTCCCATTTGTTGGTTCATCACTCCCTGCACTACCAAATGCCAGCAATATCCAGAATGGGCTTAGCTCAAGGCAGGAGCTAGGAACTCTAGCTGGGCCTCCCGCATGTTCTTTAGCCATCATCCACTGCCTCCCAGGATGCACACTGGCAGGAAGTGAAACCAGGACTTGAACCCATGCTCTCCGAGGTGGGAGGCAGTAGTCCCAGTGTCTCACGTGCAGAGCCCAGTGCCTACTCCATATCAGTACATCTGGTACAAGCTAGTGTTAACTTCCTGTTCTTCATATCCTTTTTAAAAAATATATATTTATTTGTTTTTATTTGAAGTGCAGATTTTACAGAAAAAGGAGAGAGAAGGTCTTCCATCTGCTGGTTCACTTCTCAAATGGCTGCATTAACTGGAGCTGAACCGATCCAAAACCAGGAGCCAGGAGCTTCTTCCAGGTCTTCCAATGGGTGCAAGGTCCCAAGGCTCTGGGCTGTCTGTGACTGCTTTCCCAGGCCACAAGCAGGGAGCTGGATCAGGAGTAGCCAGGACACAAACCATTGCCCTTATGGTATGCCAGTGCCACAGGGCAGAGGATCAGTCTGATGTGCCACAATGCTGGCCCCTGTTTATTTCATGTTCTTGGAGCCCACTTCCATGCACCACTCCCTGGGGTTTGGTTGAAACTTATTAGGCAAACTTTGCAGTATTTTTCTTAATATTTCATTTTATTTGAAAGGCAAATTTACAGAAAGAAGAAGTAGGAGAGAGAGAGATCTTCCATCTACTGATTCACTCCCCAAATGGTCGCAGTGGCAGAGCTGAGCCCGTGTAGAGCCAGGAGCTTCCTTCAGATCTCCCACGCAGGTGCAGGGTCCCAAGGCTTTGGGCTATCCTCAGCTGTTTTCCCGGGACGTTAGCAGGAAGCTCAATCCTAAGTGGAACTGCCAGGACCCCAGCTGGCATCCATGTTGATGCCTGCGCTACAGGCAGAGAATTACTGTATCCTGCCATGCCTGAAAACTTCACACTTTTGTTGGTGTGTAGGCTGTTTCTCCTTGCCAGAGCACTCTGGGATCCTAGTAAAAAGGTGGGGAGGCCAGCCCTCGGCTTGCAGTCTTGGAAGGAACACTGCCCAAGCTGACTGCGGTGCTCCCAAAGCAGGTAAGAGCAGTTTCCTTGGACCTAGGGAGTGAGGCTGCATCTCCCTGGGCTGATGAGACCCTGAGTGGTGAGAAAACTTGGGGCTTTCAGTTCATCTGAGCACAGCTGTTGGCTGCCTTAACCAGCTCAGGCTGCTCTAACAAACACCATAAGCTGTGTGTGTGGATTAAACTATCAATTTGTGAGCCCGGTGCAAAAGCCTAGCAGCCAAAGTCCTCGCCTTGCATGCACTGGGATCCCATATGCGTGCTGGTTCTAATCCCGGTAGCTCCACTTCCCATCCAGCTCCCTGCTTGTGGCCTGGGAAAGCAGTCGAGGACGGCCCAAAGCCTTGGGACCCTGCACCCATGTGGGAGACTCGAAAGAAGCTCCTGGCTCCTGACTTTGAATTGGCTCAGCTCCAGCCATTGTGGCCACTTGGAGAGTGAATCAGTGGACAGAAGATCTTCCTGTCTGTCTCTCCTCTGTATATCTGACTGTCCAATAAAAATAAATCTTTAAAAAAATAAACTGTCAACTTGCATTTCTCACAGTCTGGAGTTGGGGAAGTTTAAGGTCAAGGTGCTGATGGGGTTAAGTCTCATTCAGAGGCTTCCTCTCCGGATGAGGTAGCTCATCTCCTGTACGTGCCCCATGACTGCTTTGCGAGGAGAGACACGGAGCGTGGCTGAATTCATCTCTGTCCCTATTTATTTGAAAGGCAGGGTGAGAAGAAGTCGGGGACAGAGACCTTCCATCTGCTCTTTCCCCCAGGCAGCCACAACAGCCAGGGCTGGGCCAGGCCAAAGCCAGGAGCTTCTTCCAGCTCTTCCATGCGGGTGCAGCAGCCCAAGCACCTGGCAGTCATCCTGCAACCCTCCCAGGCACATCTGCAGGGAGTTGGATCAGAAGTGAGGAAGACAGGCTACAACCAGACCCAGATAGGATGCCAGCATCACAAATAATAGCTTAACCCACTATACCACAATGCCAGCCCCCACCTGTTTTATGACTTATTTTTATTTAAGGAAGAGTTACAAAGAGAAGGACAGATAGATATTTCATCCACTCCCCAAACGGCTATAATTGCCGGAGTTAAGCTTATCTGAAGCCAGGAGCCATGCGCCTTCTCTGGGTTTCCTGGGTGGTTGCTGGGGCCCAGGGCTTTGGGCCATCCTCTGTTGCTTTCCCAGGTCACAATCAGGGAGCTGGGTCAGAAGTGGAGCAGGTGAGATATGGAGGCACTGCAGGCAGAAGCTTAGTCTACTACACCACATTGCTGGTGTAAATTTTATTTATTTGTGAACGAAAGAGTGCTCCAATCCATTAATTTCTTCCTTCCCCCTCCCGCCACGTCTGCAGTGGCTGGGGCTGGGGCTGGGTCAGGCTGAAACTGACAGCTCGGAACTCAGTCTAGGTCTTCCATGTGAATATCATGAACCCAACTACTTGTGCCACCATCTGTTGCCTCCCAGTGTATGCTGTGGCAGGAAGGACTGCGAGCCAGAGCTGGGTATGGAACCCATGCCCATGCTGCAGTGTGGGCCATGGGCTGCTTCACTGGCATCCTTAATAGCCAGGCCAAGTCTCTGCCTCCCACCTCCTCTCGTAAGGACAGTAACATCCTCACAACATCATCTAAAGGCCACACACACACTGCGTTCAACCTTCAGTCACCCCAGCCCTCTGGCTCCAGGACAGCGAGCTGTGAGGAAAGCTCACTGTTCTGAAAAGCCTAACACTGAAAAAGCTAAGCTTTTAATTGGCTTTCTGTATTGCTATCAAGCACCCCAAAAGGTCCGGGGACCCCACCGTCTTCATGAGTGTCAAGGGCCACGTGTAGCTGTGTCCTGAACCCGAGGTCAGCGGATATCTGATCCTAACCCGCACCACGTGGCTGACCCATGGCCTGGGCCAGGATCTGCACGCAAACTTGAACCAACCTATCTATTTGAAGTATGAGGTACTTCAAAAAGTTGTCTGTGCAGAGTTCAATACATTAAACAATGGTGATTAGGGAAACATGGAGAGCAAGTCCCCTTCTCCCTTTAGGCCGAGAGATGACAGAGCAGCAGCGGGATGACAAACTGACTGAAAGCCTGGGGCGGGCAGCCCCCGGCCGGAGCGCCTACCTGAGGAGGAACAGCTGTCCATCTTGAGCTGAGGGCCGATGGGCAGGGTGCAGCCCACTCGCCAAGTGCTGGGAGAAGGCAAGTTGTGTGAGGAGCTGCCTTTCCTGGTGGCCCCTGACAGAAATGACAGGCCGCCAGGAAGCCCCCAGAATGTTCTACTGACAGACAGGAAGGAGCAGTCCCTTTCTGGGTCCTCCAGGCTGCCAGTCTTACTTTAGCGCCCCCTAACAGGGCAGCTGGTGAAGCTGACAGCCCCACCTCACAAAACCAGCCTGAGGGGTGGCTTTGGGTAGCAAGTGTTTGGCTTGGAGGTTAAGAGGCCCACGCTGTGTACCAGGGGGCATGGGTTTGAGTCCTGGCTCAGCCCTCAAGGCCAGCTGCTTGCTGATGTGGGAGAGCAGCAATGCCATCTCCAGTCCTCAGGCACCTCCCTGCCCTCCATGTGAGACACGTGGGCTGAGTCAGGGCTGAGTCAGGGCTGCTGGCTCTGGCCAAGGCCCCGCTGTCGTGGCTATTTGGATTTGAGCAGCAGACTGAAGTGCTCTCTTTCAAATTAGAATAATAAAAAACTATCGGATCCTGTTACATTTCACATTATTTAAAGTTCTTATTGATTAATGAAGCATCTCCTAACTTTTTAGAAACCCTTTTTCAGGGTGTTGGGGCTGCTTGGTGCCAGGTCTCCACAGCAGCCAGAGTGACTGTGTTATTTTTGCTTTGGGAAAAGTAGCTTTCTTAGACACAGAAACCTGCCTTTAAAATTTTTATTACAATTAGAAATTACACAGAAACAAATCAATTCATTTCAATCAAAATAACTCATGTGTACATCATATTTATAAAACAAGCTGTACAATACAATATATAAAGTGTTTTCACATTTTTGGACTTCAGTCATCTTCCTCCTCCTCTTCATCACTTATCACATACTTCTTATGCTTCTTGTTTGCTTTGTCGTCATCTTCTGCTTTCCTCTTCCCAGAAGGCTCACCTTCCTGGGCAAAAAAAAAAAAAAAAAAAATTAGAAGTCACTAAAGGACATATTTCTTTTTAATATTTTACTTATTTGAAAGAGACAGACAGACACACAGAGATCGTCCACTGTTGGTTCACTCCCCGAATGCTCACAACAGCAGTGGCTGAAAACTCCGGCATAGGGGCAGCAACCAAGGCCTTGGTTATCCCCGCTGCGCTGCCAGGAGCTCACGAGGAGGCCGGAAGCAGTGGCAGCGCCAGGAGGGGTACGCAGGCACTCCAGTACGGGCTGGAAGTGTTCCAGGCGGCAGCTTCACCGTTCCAAACATCTGCCCCTAGAACATGTATTTCTAGTTCTAGTTAATCAAAAGTAACCCAGATGTGGGGCTGGCACTGTGGCTCAGCACGCCATAGGGGTGTCGGCTCATGCCCCAGCTGCTCCACTTGTGATTCAGCTCCCTGTTCAGCACTTGGGAAAGCAGCGCAGGATGACCTAAGTGCTTGGGCCCCTACTTCCCATGCGGGAGACATGGATGAAGTCCTGGCTTCAGACCAGCGCAGCTCTGGCCACTGTGGTCATTTAGGGAGCAAACCAGCAGAGGGAAGATTGAACTTAGTCTTCTCTCTCTATAGCTGACCTGTCAAGTAAAAATTAACCAATTAATTTTAAAAGCAAAAATTAAAAAAAAAAAAAACAAAACCCTCAGCCTTGAATGCTCCACTGAAAACTCACAGTAAGATCATTGTAGGAGTTGAGGTCATTGCCAGTACTCGAGGTTACAGTCAGTTTTCAGATCTGTAGGAGGCATTGTAAAATGACAACTTTGGCAGTCTTCATTCTAAACTAACCACAAAGCTCAGCTTGTAGTCCCAGGAGACCGTGAGGGAGAGCTACGTGGCAGGAAGTTGCCATCCAGGAGAAGGGGGAACAAGCAGCAGGAGGGAGCAGGGCTGGGCTCACCCAGCAAGCAGTGTGTGCCCCCACTGTGCCACTGTGTCCCCACTCTCCTGCCAGCACTCAGATGCTTTTGTCAGCTTCCTTGGCCTTTCACTTCTCTTCATCATGGACAATCCAGTATTTCCTGTCTATTTTTTTACATAACAATTTTTGCTCTGGGATACACTAAAAATTCACATCATGAAAGTTTTTAGGAAAGCATTTGAAAAAATTCAAAGCTTGCTATATTCAAGTTTCCTCTGATTACAACCATTCTTTGCAGTGCTCTCACGGAAAAAAAATCATTCAGGAAGTTAGCTAAGAAACAACTTCTGCAAGTAGTGTTCCAATATATCAACATCTAAAAGAGGTCAAATAATGGATTACTCCGACAGACTCTAAATGGAACATTCCAGAACTTGCAATAATGAGCTTCCTCATGAAGAATGGAGAATGACAGACGGCCTAAACGCTGAAGCCAGGGAAGGCCTAGCGTATGCTGCTGGGCCAAGATATTTGAAGATGGAGAGTGCAAACTGGTATGCAGCAAGAGACTAAAATGTTGTTAGTAAACAAGGCCGTCAGGTCCATCACCAGAGCAAGCGAGCCAGGGTGGGAAGGGAAGTGAGTGCATAAGGAGGAGGGCAGCCGGCGCCCTAGGAGCCTTCCCAGCAGCCAGCCTCCTTCCCCAGCAGCCGGCCTCCCTGCCTCCCGTCGCAGAGGGCCGGCCTGAGCATCTTGCCTTTCCTCTGCCAGACCACCACACACGGTTTCTGCCTCTCCCACCTGTCCACCTGTGAGGTACCTGGGGGCTTCTGGAGCTTTTACTGCTCATCACAATGAGGGAGGAAAAATAGCTCTCCTATCCATTTTTTTTTTCCTTTCCCCATAACACAGACCTTGTTGGAGGAGGACCAGGAGCATTTCCTGTTGGGCCATCACATGACGCCATTACCCGTTCTGTCTGCCACTGGCTGGAATATGACAGCTTCACACGGGGACAGCATAAAGCCCAGGGATCACACAGCGCCCACAGACTCAGGAAAAGGGGATGACTTGCCCACTGGCATTCAGTGCCAAAGGACTACACCGAGACCCAACAATCCAGCTCCCTCTGCTGCTTGCTGACCTGACCCGGGTCAGGGCACAGTGTGGTGACAGTGGGGATTCCCTGATTGAAGGCCCTCTGTCTCCGAGGCTCACTGGCTGCCAGGCATTTGGGTCTAGATCACTCGCTCCCGTGTTTCTCTGCTCCACTCTCTCCCACAGCTGGGTCTCCAACTGTGGTCACAGGAGATGGTGGCGGGGGCTGGGAGGACCAGGTGGAAGGGAAATCTTTATTATCAAGGAAAGGAAAAGGAAGAAAGTGGGAAGACCCAGGAGGGTATCGGAGTCACAAGGGGGGAGAGTAGTTCCAGTAACACAGCCACGAGGCCACTCGCACAAGGCATTTTACATCAGGCAGGCTTCCAACTGTCCAGGCCAGAAGGCTTGCACTGGAAACAAAAACCTCACTTCTGAGAAGCCTGGCAACACACACAAGTTCCACGGCACTTCTCAGTGCTCAGTCACAGTTTGCATGTGCCAAGAAACAAACAGCAGCTGCTTAGATGCGGATTCCCATTTGCCAACTGTTCCAATACTAAACACATCATCAGGATGTCACCTCCTCTGACTTCACTCAAATGCACTGTAGGGGAATGCCACCGTTTCTCTCCGCTTCCTTCCACAACACGCCTCTTCCAGGAATGATGGAGAGACATGCCATGTTGCAACTGACAAAACCCCCAAAATAGAGTTCTGTTTCTGATGACAAAAGCTCTGATGGAAACCTAAAGTAATCAAGATACTTTCTCAAGTGTAGATAACAGGAACAGAACATCCGCCTCTGGCTCCCCTGAACCGGTCTCCCGCTGCGAGTAACTACAAGGATGGGTCTAACAATAGCAAAGCAACGTGACAGCAAGGGAAGGCCGGGTAATCAAGACCAAGAACTGAGGAAAACGAGCCCAGGTAATAACTAGGATGCTGGAGAGGACTTCCTCCTTAAACATGCACTCACCTATGTGAACCTGACCTTGGTTTTCCTGCAAAGGACAGGAGACAGGCCACACTGAGCAGGTTTTGTAACACACCCTGAAGGACTACAATTTAGTGAACCACAAGTACGCTCAGTCCCACTTCTCTGAGGCAACATTTAGCAAGTCAAGGATAAGATAATAAATAAACCTTTAAAAAAATTTTTTTTAAGATTTATTTGTATTGGAAAGGCAGATCTTCCATCCATGGATTCACTCCCCAAGTGGCAGCAACAGCTGGAGCTGAGCCATCTGAAGCCAGGAGCCAGGAGCTCCTGTGTCTCCGAGGCTCACTGGCTGGCAGGCATTTGGGTCTAGACCACACTCTCCTGTGTTTCTCTCCACCACTGTCTCCCACAGCTGGGTTTCCAACTGTGGTTATAGGAGATGGTGGCGGGGGCCACTGTGCCACAATGCCCGGCCCCTGGTTTTCTTTTATTTTAAATAAAGCGTTTTCAGAAACCACCCACACGGAGGCTTTGATGATAGCGGTTTTGTTTTGTTTGTTCGTTTTGCAGTAGTGGCAGAGTTGAACAGTTGCAGTAAAAGTTGCAGGGCTCTTGAAAATCGTTTGATGTTTATTTTCAGGGAACTAGCATGATAACTCAACTAGCTAATCCTCTGCCTGCAAATTCTGGATCCCAAATGGGCACCAGTTTGTGTGCCGACTGCTCCACTTCCCATCCAGCTCCCTGTTTGTGGCCTGGGAAAGCAGTTGAAGATGGCCCAAAGCCTTGGGACCCTGCACCCGCACTGGAGACCCGGAAGAAGTTCCTAGCTCCTGGCTCCGGATCGGCACAGTACCAGCCGTTGAGGCCACTTGGGGAGTGAATCATCGGACAGAAGATCTCTGTCTCTCCTCCTCTCTGTATATTTGACTTTGTAATAAACATATATAAATAAAAACAAATAAACAAAAAAGTAAAACCAAACTGCAGTAGGCATTGAGCTGCAGTAGGTTAAGGCACCGCCTGGGATGCCCACTTCCTCTGCAGCAGTGCCTGGCTTCAGATGTCAGTGACACTGTTGGCTCCCATTTCCAGCCAACGTGGACCCTGGGAGGCAGCATAAACAGGGGTCCTGCCATCCACCTGCACATCCCAGACCGACTTTCTGCCTCCCAGCTCTGGGCCTAACCCAGTTCTGTCCCCTGAAAGCATTTGGGGGAATGAGCCAGCCGATAAGAACCCTTTTTGCCTCTCAAAGGAGTAATAAAATAAACAACAACAATAAAAAAAGCAAAAGCCAATTTGAAAAATAAACCAAGCCTCCAGATATGAAAGACAGGCTGATTAAAACCAAAACTGCAGGTGGGGTGGGGAGGAAGGGTGGGTGTTTGGCCTGGCAGTTGGGATGCCCACTCCTCATGTCTCAGTGCCCAGCAGGGATTATGCCTGGTGTCTGACTCAGTTCTCTTCCTGTGCAGCCCCGGAAGGCAGCACTGGTGGCTCAAGCACCCGGGGTCCTGTGGCTTGTGATGCAGGCCTGCACTGGGTTCCCGACTCCTGGTTTTAGGCCTAGCCCAGCCCTGATGGTTGCAGCCATGTGGAGAGTGAAGTGATAGTGAGAACTCTCTCTAGTTCTCAAATACATTGCAAAATATTTAATGAAAAGAGCTTAACAGCATATTGCACACAGCTAAAGAAGCAATGAGCTAGAAAGATCTGAGTGAACAGCCATGAAAGTTTACGAGTTGTGGAGGATGCAGTGGGAGGAACACTGTATATCCGGTCAGAGCTCTGCAGAGAGAATGGTGCAGGGGCAGCGTCTGAAGAAGCGACAGCTTGATGGCTGATACTGTCACAACTGACAGAAGACACCAACCTACAGGCTCAGGAAACCTAACAAAACCCAGTGAGAATAAACAAAAAGAAATATCAGAAGAGATCATAGTAAAGTTCTAGAACACTGAAGAATTTTATAAACACCTGAAAAGCAGCTATTGAGAGCAAAGCTGGAGCAAAGGGTAGAAGAGGCCCCATCTCTGGAAATCAGCCACAGGGTGGAGAGCTAATGAAGAAATGTATAGGCAAGAAAATCCACGAGCACTCGGAAGCATGGTGGGCAGCCGGCACTGGAATTGTGAGCCCTTCTGCCCCACTCTTGTTTCCAGCTGCTTGCCAGCTGCTCCCCACCAGTGGGGTGTGACCAACCTTCAAGGGAAGTGGCTCCCCTTCTCCTTGACTCCTGGTCAAGGCATCGGACATCTTACTGCCAGCATCCCTCCACTTTCCCCAAGTCCCCACTGAATGACCACGTTCCCAGCAGATGAAGCAGAGTTAGGAACTCCTTTCTTCTGTCTGTGCCTCCCATGGCACGAGGGGATGTGCACAGGTGGGGCAGGCAGGAATGCTGGGGTCCTGCCGGGAGGGAAGGGGCAAACTGAGCCTGAGTGGACTCACCTCATCACTGTTGAGCTTCTTGGCTTTGAGTAATCTTTGAGCCTTATCTTCTTCGGATCCCTCATCACTGTCTGAGGAGTAGATTCTGGCTCGTTCCTCTGAAAGCAAAAGAATTGGATCATGAGGAGCCCTAAGAAACAGTGATTGTGGTCATTCTTGGATAAATCTATACATTTTCCCCCAAAGGAACCAAATCAAATTTTTTGATTTAAAGAGAAATGTTTTAAATTGTGATGCAAAATTATCAGCTATAGATATATGCTCATCTGGAGTAGACCATGAAGAGCCCAAGTCCCTGGCACCCTGGGTCATCATTAACTCCAGAGTCAACCCTGCACACCAAGTCAGAAGCAGCTCCTAGGCCCATGAGCCATACCTGCCGCCAGGTGGGTCTTCCGCAGGGAGACACGGGAAGCATGTGTGATTTCTGCTAAGTACAGGTGGAAAGGAACGGCTGACCTGATACCAAACCACTCCTACAGACCCCAAAGGCCTTCCCTCAGCTCCCTGCCCCAAGCCTGACCACTACAGAGAAGTGAGCACTACTGAATGTGCCTATTAAGTTATTTTTTAAAGATTTATTTATTTGAATGGCAGAGTTATAAAAGAGAGGGAGAGAGACAGAGAGCCTCCATCCACTGGCTCACTCCCCATATGGCTGCAATAGTCAAAGATGGGCCTGTCTGAAGTTGGGAGCCAGGAGCTTCCATGCTATGCAAAAGCCCAGGCTCTGGACTAGCCTTGGGGCCTCCCCAGGCAGGAGCAGGGAACAGCCAGATCAAGCAGCAGCACCTCCATGCGATGCCGGCATGGCAGATGAAGAATTGGCCGGATAGGCCACTACAACAGCCCCTAACTATTAGGCTTTTACTATCCCATAAGGGATGACAGTTAAGGGTCATCTTTAGTTAGGTGACATCTGTGTAGGATTTAGTGATGTGACAGGAACTGAGCTAAGTAACATAAATATATTACACCATTCAACCTGCAAATGACCTCTTGGTGACCGGCATTGTGGCTGAACTGGCTAATCTTCCACCTCCACTTCCAAGCGTGGTATCCCATGTGGGCACCAGTTCATGTCTCAGCTGCCTCACTTCCGATCCAGCTCCCTGTAGCCTAGGAAAGCAGTGTAGGATGGCCCAGATCCTTGGGCACCTTGCACCCATGAAAGAGACCATGAAGAAGCTTCTGGCTTCAGATCTGTTCAGCTCCAATCTATGTGGGTAGTAAACCAGTGGATGCAAGACGCTTTCGCTGTCTCCCCGTCTCTTATAAATCTGCCTTTTCAAAAAAACAAAACAAAACTTAAGTATTAACAGGTTGTCTGTTAACAGGTGGTAGAAGTTAAGAGAGGTTACATAACTTTTCAGAAGGCACTGTGAGTATCTTAGGAGTAAACCAGCTGATGGAAGCTCTCTCTCTCTGTCTCTCTCTCTCTATATATATACACATATATAAAATTATATATAAAAACTCTTTCAAATACATAAATCATACAAAAAAAAAAAAATGAAGGAAAGTGCCCATGGACTTGGTGCCGAGGTGACATAAAAAGCTAAAGCCCAGAACCTTGGAACAGGGAGAGTGTTGCCGACTCACCTCGGATGCCCCCTTTGTATCGGTTTTTAATGGCAGCCAGACTGATGGACTCCTCGCCCTCCTCCTCCTCATCATAGCGATCAGGCTCCAGGTAGCTGGCGCTCAGGCCCCGCTGGTGCTGCTTCTCTCTCATCCGCCGCTGCTGAGACTCCCGCCGGATGGATGCCCTCAGACGCTCTTCTTCTTTCTGTAAAAAAGCAATCAACACTTTAGCCACAGTTGAGCTGTGTCCTTTAGCTCCCATGGGTTGGCAACTTAACAAAACCCCATGCAGCCTTGAGAGCCAGGTGCTTCAGGAGGGGCCTGGGTCAAGACTGATGGATCCCAGGGGTTGGCACTGGAAGGAGGATCTGCTTCAGCACGGGACCCCGTCCGCCAGAGCACATGTGCTGCCTTGCTCTGGCTCTTCCTATCGTTACCCAGTCAGAGGGATATGGTCAGGGCAGCAGGTACCAGATGAGGACATGATTCACTGAGACTGCTTGCCCATCAGGATCCATCCATATCCTAATGCTCAGGCACAGGCCTACAGCAGGGTTCCCCATTTACACCTGGGTTACCCCATAAAATGGCTCTACTGGCTTAAAAGGATGAAGGCTATGAAGCGAGGGGGGAAGAGGCAGCAGGGTCTTTCACACTCATCAGCTTGATCATAACTGGCACAAGTGTGACCCTGGGAACTGCGTTTGTTCCCTGTGCTGCCACTCCCAGCCCTGGTGCAGATGTCTAAATCAACCCTCTGAGTACTGGAGGGTGTCTCTGTTTACCCCTGAGCAGCACACACCTGACCTGTGTGGGCCCCACCAACTCCCATGGGTCTCGGGTATTCCTGTCTCAGCTCCTAATCCCAGAGAACTCCCCCAAAGCTCCAGACACAGCAGCGGGGGAGGCCCCGCTGGAGATGATGGGCTCGGGAATCCCTTGGCATTCTTCCACAGTCCTGTTCTAACTGTGTTGCTTGCAATTCTGTGCAGCAGACTGTTTTCTGAGGTTAGAGTAAGATTTATTGTTGGTGTGGGGGCACTGAGGACAGATGAGCTGACTCCTTGTTCGCATGCCAGAGGAGCTGGGGACTTAGGGGAGGCTTTGGAGCCTGGGGTGGGGGGAGGGCTCTATTGAGAAAACAGACTGGAACCTGCACCTTCCTCCAACACCTTTAGCTTGTGCAGAAAAGGTAGGAAATGGAGCAAAAAGTCAGGCTCCAAAAACCAAAGCCCCCATGACCCCTGGGTTAGGCACTGCAACTGGATCTGGCTTAATAACCCATCTCCATGGAGGAAAAACTGGGAGCCCTGGGCCTGGCACTGTGGTGTATACTGCCTGCAATGCTGGTACTGGTTCGAATCCTGGCTATTCCACTTCAGATCCAGCTCCCCATTCCTGAACCAGGAAAAGCAGCAAGGATGATGGCCCAAGTGCTAGGACCCCTTCACCCATGCTCTGCTTAGTGTGGCCATTTAGGGAGCAAATTAGAGGATGGACAATCTCTCTGTGTCTCTTCCTCTCTCTGCACAACTTTGCCTTTTAAATAAATTAAACCTTAAAAACTGTAACAAATAAAGAAGCACAGGCGCGCCAGGGCCAGACAATGAGATTGATGAACTTTCAGGCCCTGGAGAGAGAACCCACATCTCATATCTGTTTAGCCACCATCAGCACATCCCCTACCACACCACCCTAACCCTATCAGACAGAAGGAATAAAGGTGGGCCAGTTTCCTTATATAAGAGAGAACATATGGAAAGTGTATGGAAAGTGTACCTTCAATAATCCAGTCCATACTGGTTTTGTTTTGGCTGCATCCATGTGTTTTGATGTTTTTTTATTTCAGTTTTATTTATCCCAAATACTCTTTTCTCTTGTCAAAATCATTGCTGGCTCATGGATTATACAGTGGCATCATTTTTCCCAAGAGACTTTTGTATCTCCTTTTTGTCACCTATGTTGGTTACTCAGTGGCGTGTTTTTTCAAGGAGCTGTAATTTGTTGTTTTTGCTGTCATTGTTAAGGCTGTTGTTCTAACTCATACCAGTGGTTGACCTTGTTTTATGGCTTCTCAATTATGGAAATGTATAATGAGGGAGTACTGGGGTCTGCCATATCCAGATGTGGGGGTATAATGCAACATGCATCCCTGCTTCCAGACGAAAGATAGATTCCCAATGGAACTGTTGGACATGTGTAAACAATGGGATGCTGGCCTGTCTCACTTTGTACCTGCAATGTTGGGGTACACTTAAATGAGAGACTGATGGAATTATAATCCCTTATAAAGGATTATACCACTGTAGTAAAATGAGGAAAATCTGTGGGGGGGTGGGAGTTTGGGGGGAAATCCCAGTTTAAACAAAATTGTAACACATAATTCAAAAATTCAAAATAAAAAAATATATATATAATTTTAAAAAAGAGAATAATGGTTAACCAGAAAGGAAATCTTTCTACCAGAATGACCAGGACCTGTCCTCAATTGATTATTTGGGATATGGGAAATAAAATTAATGACAAGCAGTAATTAAAAGTAAAAACATACTTTAAAAAACATACTTTAAGTATGTATTTTAAATGAAACCGGGTAAAGATGTATTTATTCACTAATCTATAAATGTAATTTTCTCTGTGGAAAAAAAAAAGGTGGGCCAGTAAGCACCAGTCTTAAATAGATGACGGACAGATGTTTTTGGCAAATGTTGTTCTTAATATACCCCAAACAACCTGAGGCTAGAAAGTCTGGCAAACATACCTTAATCATTTCTGTGCGCTGGCATTCAGGATCCCGACCCGCCATGGGAAGGATCCTAATTTTCTGTGTCTTGGAACATCTGTCCGCTAGGGACAGCGTCATCTTTCGATGCGTGGCACTGTCTGTAGAGTGAGGCCTGCCAGGAAGGAAACAAAAAGTGCTCCAATTGTTCATTAAGTACACCCCTGAGGCACTCACATCCATACCACAAAGAGGCCAGTGAGCACTTTCTGTTCACTGGAAAAACAGCAAGCGCTACCACACAGCTGAGTCTACCAGGTGGGGAACTGTGAGCATTCTTTATTCTGCGCTGAGACACTCCTTGTCTCAGAGTGACATGAGAAACAGAACGCTGCAGTAGAAAGGCTAGACACATCACCATCATGTTCTAGAAGCAATAAATGGACTGTGCTTTCTGTCTTATGTGCTATTAAACTCTCATAGGTGCTTTATCACTTTATAGAAGAGGAAAGGAAATAGAAATGAATAAAAGTTGAGAAAATGGCACATGTCACACAGGTGGAAATGGAATTCAAAGACAAGGCCAATACTTTTTAACCTGTACAATTAAAAAGTAGAAAATAAGCAGTGTTATTGCACCCCCTCTAAAGATAAGCACTACCTAAGGGAAAGGCCTCTGCAGAATGGAGCATAGCACAGACCCCTCAGAGTAGGCCGCTGTGGTCTAGAGCAGGGGTTGCCAGCTGCCCTGGCTGTTCCAGTCACCTTGGGGAACACATGCAGCAGCTTGGGGAAAAGCAGTGACCTCATGTGCATCTCCAGCATCTAACAGCTTTTGCTCTGACACCTTCAACTTGACCTACTCATTAGTGACTCAGCTGTACTTTACTAAAAAGAAAAGACACAGTGACCATCAGAGACAAGTATTCAATGCCTTATGACAGTGAAATGATCAGCAGAATAAAAAGTTGTCTTCTGCTTTATGTAACAGTCCTTCCTATGCCTGGTTAGCAGGACCCAGTTTCGTGAGAAATAACAACTAGTAGTGTATTTTAAAACTGCAGCGGGGATGCCTCATTCAGATACTGGGCCTTATGGGAACATCTCTGTTTTGCTGCTGTCACCATAACAAAGGATACCTTGATAACAGTTACCTGAAGGTGAGCTTCGTTTTAAAGACGGCTTGTCCCTGGAGACCAGTTCCTTGTCTTATGAAAAGATGATTGTGGTCACCTTGCAGTGGAGCTTTGTACACGTCGAACACTTCATTGCCCAAATGCAGGGACATGCTGAAAACCAGGAGCACGTCATATAGTATAGCTACAGGGCTGTCACTTGACCATCCCACCTGTGATGCACCTGCTCTTTTCCTACTCAGAACTCAAGCCGAAAGAAAATGAGAATATCACAGTAAGGAATTTACCCAGCCCCCACTATGTTCCTGGAGAAAGACGTTTTTTTCTAACATGTATGTCACACTGTGAGCAGTATGGAAGGGGAAACTTAACTTTTCTAACTTAATAGCTGTAGCCAAAGAGGATGACCACATTCCTGGCTTCACTTTTCTATGTCTCCTACGAGCCTGTGCAACCTCCAAATATTTATTCTCTCAAGCTTTCTTGAGAGGGACCAAGCAAAGGGAACTTCTTTAATAAAAAGTGGCCCTCAGATAAAGCCCTGTTGCATAGCTTGAGCCCTCTTAGCTAATCCTGCATACCTGGATATTTTCTGGGCATTCTTTGCTCACCTGCCATCTGACCACTTGACGATCCGAGCATTACTTTCCTTAATCTCATTTCCTTCCTCATCGCGGCGGATCCTCCATCGTATGGTATTTTCCACCTGTTTGAAAACATAAAAAGCTTAGGAAACTATAGGTCAACTGACTCTGCTTCTTCCCTCCCCAAGAGACACATGATTGCAGAGTTAAACACATGGAACTAGTTAACAGAAAAACACACACTGACATCTCCTCACCTTAATCAGCTACAGATGCTGGATGAAATGAAGATCAGGAAAAAATATGCTGAAGTGGACTTTGGAGTTCCCACTATCAGAATCACAAAAGCAACCCCTGAAACTGCAGCAGCACTGGGCTGTTCTAAGGTTATACACATATATGTGGATATTTCGTATTTGAAGTGGCCATACTATTGAAAATGTACAAGTCCAATCCTAGAATCTAAAAATCTCAGACTGTCCTTTCTTAATGTTCTAGTAATATACACAATATCCAATAGAAAATAAAGAATTTTCTGAAAATCTTTCAGATTTTGCATTTAAAATGTATAGTTCCAGTTTCAGTATCATGGGTTCAACTGCCTCTTGCTTGTGGGTCCAAATTACCTCTAAAACATCTACTGACCCAAAACGTTAGAGGCTCTCCCCTTGGACAGAATACTACTACAGAATGAGGTGCCAAAAGAGAAACGTCAATGAGAATCTAGTATCACATGGTTCTTTCTTAAAAGCAAGAACACAAAACAGATGCACATGATGAAATGCTACATAAAGTTGTCATGACTTTTTTTTAAATATTTATTTATTTTCATTGGAAAGGCAGATGAGATTTACAGAGAGAAGGAGAGACAGAGAAAGATCTTTCATCTGCATGTTTGCTCCCCAAATGGTCACAATGGCCAAAACTGAGCCGATCCAAAGCCAGGAGCCTCTTCCAGGTCTCCCACATGGGTGCAGGGTCCCAAGGCTTTGGGCCGTCCTCTGCTGCTTTTCCAGGACACAAGCAGGGAGCTGGATGGGAAGTGGGACATGAAGCAGTGCCCATATGGGTTGCTGGCACTTGTGACGATTACTGTTGAGACACTGGGCCAGTCCCATAAAGTCTTGTACATGATATTTTTTTAATCTGTAAAGAACCTGAAAACTTTTCTCTTTAGGAAGTTTAGCACAGTATACATGAAGGGAGTTATAGATACCCCACCATAGTATTATTTGTTCTGAACAAAGTAACTAGCAATTTTTAAAAAGCATCAAAAAGGGATGAGTGCAAAGGTAAGCTGCCATACGCAGTGCCATCATCCCATACAGGCACCAGTTTGAGAATCGACTGCTCCACTTCTGATCCAGCTCCCTGCTAATGTGCCTGGGGAAGTGACAAAGGAATGCTCAGGCACTTGGGTCCCTGTACCCACACGGGAGACCCAGAAGAAGTTCTTTGCTCCTGGCTTCATCCTGGCTCAGCTGGGTCTTGTAGGCATTTGGGAAGGAAACCAGCATATGGAAGATCTTTCTCTCTCTATTTCTTCCCCTCTCCATGTAACTCTCCCTTTCAAATAAATAAAATAAATCTTTAAAAAAATAAGAAAAAAATATATAAAAAAAAGGTATAACAGCAATGAAAGCAGCAACTTCATTGAGAAAAAGCTGAAGATATTTTTCCTTCAAAATATTCTGAAAAGGCAGAGAATGTATTTGTTTATAAAAGAGGAAGCATAAAAAGTGATTCAACAGCTCAAGTCTCAAGTTAGTACTGCTAGGTTCTACTTCATAAAAGAAAGAAGAGGTCAAAGGGGATGGTACCTTTAGCTTTAACCTCGTTCTACCTTCTTCATCCAGCATTTCCTCATCTTCAAATTCATCTTCATAGTATTGGGGATCAAAAGGTCTTCAAAATATTTAAAAAATAAAGTGTTAAATCATATTTTATAAATATTAGTGCTTTGCAATATTATCTGTTCATAGACAACAATAATAAACTAAGTTTTAAAATCATAATGGTCAAGGATCTTTATACTCAAGTTCAAGAAGTGTTTAAATAACTATTATTTTAGAAAATTTGGAGTAACATACTGCTTGACTAAACATTCAAACTACTACTTAACCCCTTGTAAGTCTTACAGAGACTAGGCCACTTATGCTCTGCTTTTCATTCTGTTTTGCGCAGGGGAAAAAGCAATTTTAATTACATACAAGCTTAAGTGTTTAACTCGGTAAATAACACCTACCAACACTGGCTAACGGCCCAAACCATGAGCTTTTCCAGATCAACAACGGCTGCTGCCATAGACATCTACAGTTTTTCTAGCAAATTCCAACATCTCAGTTTCAGCTTTGTCAGGGATATATTGTTTTAAATAACATCTGGAAGACTTATGACGTCTGCTACATTTATAAGAAGGTCTAAAACTTAACAGTTACTAAAACAATTACAAGAATCAGAAATCTCCTTTCTCAATAGCCCCTATTTGTTCTATCTTAGAGAAACCTTGAAATGACCAGTCATACATGACCAATTTTCCATTTTTTGTCATTGGTCAATGCAGCATCAGTAAGGAAAATATCAAAGCTCCACATAATAATATTCACCATCCTTCAACATTTTAATTGATTGCCATACCTGGGCTCTACACTGAGAAAATTGGGCAGCTTCACAAAATATAAGTCGTTTCCTAAATCTGTGTTTACTTTGGGTATTTCTACTTCTATCCTGGTTTCGGGGATTGGCTCTTCTTCCTGTTGATCCGGAGGCAACCCATTTTCATCCTGGGAAAACAACCACAGAATGTTAGAGCTTGATGGGACTTCACGAATGTCTAGTTCAACTTTCACACTTCAGTTGCTCAGGGGCGCAGGGATCCCAGCACCCCTAGAAACTTCATAGGAAACAACAGCAGTTTGAATGCCCCGGTGAAAGAAAATCTCTTTCATGCAGATTTCGCTTCCAAGTATCCATCAACAGTAGAACAGAATTCATCAATACTTTTGGTGTGAAGACAGTCTGACAATTAAAGTTGGACCAATGGAATAAAACAAAATCAGGGAAGATTTTCAACACAGTAGATACTGGACATGAACAAGACAATCACATAAGGCCAATGGTTCTTAAATCATGGCCCCTCACAGCCTAGGTCCCTGAAGTGCAGCATGTTAGGCAATTATTTCTGTTTTCCTTGTGACACAGAGATCCAGACAGAGTTCTGGAATCCAGGCTTCAGCCTACCCCAACTCTGACTGTTGTGGGCATTTAGGGATGAGCCAGTGGATAGAAGATTTTTGTTTTTCTCCATCTCTCTCAAATATAATGAAAATAAATAACTTAAAGAATTTTCTACGTACATAACAAGTCACCTATCATTATATTGTTACATTATAATTCAGTTAATAAACTTCTTCCTCTTAAAGTCAGAGAAACCTTTGCCTCTGAAACTTCTTACTGAGCTTTGCTTGAATGGCCCAATTCACGTTAGTAATTTTCCTTACAATAGGCTGGCCGGGCGTAGGTGGTTTATCTTCTCCATCACTCCCTGAAGATATATCATCTGCACCTCCAAACAGATCCATGGTTCCACCAGTATCTTCAATGCAAGAGGGAAAATGCTCAGTATTAATATCTGGAACTCTCCAAGCTCATCACTTCACAGGCTCAAGGTTTTTGGGCCAAGACACCACCCCAAATGCAGCTCAGAGCCTGCCCTTCAAAGCTCCCTCTCCAGTGTATGTGGAGAAGCAAGGTTGCATGGGAGGCACCTCCTTCATGCTCTCCCACTTCCCTTCACTCCCCAGGGGCCCATTCTCTGCATAAGGCTCTTGCAGTCCAGCTCTGCCCAGGCCCTATCCTTCTAGGCAGCTACCATGATGGAATAGTCAAAAAGCAACAGCAACCCACACCAACCAATAAACCAAGGAGGGAGCACTGGAGTAGCTAGACAGACAGTAAGTGTGGTCAAAAAGTGGTGGCTTACAATGAAGATTATAGCAGAGTTATAATTAATGATAATGACAGGTTTAGGATAGAGCTGCAAGAGACGGTAACTGAGACAGTGTAGAGGATTAGATCGCTGAAGGAGAAACAGCCTTTACAACTGGGTACTGAGACTTCATCTACGTGACGGCATCTCCAAACCACAGGCCCCCGACTCAGCTTTCCTCCCCACCTCCCAGCCACCATCCTGACTTAATTTTTACTTCTTATCGCCACCTGACACACTAGTGTGTCATTTACGCTGCTTTACCCTGCTGTCCTGAGGTGGGTCCCTACCAAGGGACTCCCCAGCACCGTGGGGTGGCGGGGGGGAGGGGGGGAGGCTTTGCTGCCCTCCCTGTGCCCAGAACTGAGCCAGGGCCTAACAGATACTCAGATAGCAGAAAATTATGAATACACTTTACCTAATTTATAACAATCATAGGAGACAGTATGCATGTCATCTCTTTTTTCAGGAAGATAAAACTGAAATAAGTATGTGTGAAATATGTAATTAGTTCGACCATACAACTGAGTTGAGACAAGCATTATAACTTGGATCACCCAATCCCAAAGTCTGTGCATCTAACTGAGTTTCAGATCTTGAAGTGACCCGCAAAGCTCGCCAGTCTATCCAGTTCTCTCCTTTTCTCTAGCTAACCATCTAAATATCTGTTCTAGTGATGTGACTTACAACAATTTAACATTAATTAAGTAATGTTGGTGAGCTGTCCCCGGGTCTGCCTGGGCTCCAGGGGCTGCTCCCTTCAGGGAATACACCGAGGGGGGAGGTCTCCATGACTGGATAGGTCCAGGGCTCACCCACCGCCCTCATTGGGCAGTGAATGGGATTGGGACTGGGAGCGTCTCATGCCTGGATCCCAGACGCCAGCCACCATGTGCACGTGGTGAGCTGTCCCCGGGTGGCCAGTGGGCCAGGCTAGTGGTGCCAGTATCCGCCTGCTGGCCACCTGGCCTGGACCTCCGGGCTTTTAGTTCTTTGAATCGCTGCTTAGGTAGCTCCAGGTTGAACCCACTGTGCTACTAGGACATGAATCAATCCTAAAGATTCCCAATCACAGTAACTCTTCCTTTGAAGAACTTATAATCACTGAACAATGCTGACCACCAAATACCAGTCCATGCAAAAGCTTTGGCTCAGGGCTTCTCCAGCAGAATCATATCCTGTTACCTGACATGATGATAGATCAGAAGCATCACATTAAGCAGGGCCATTACATTAACTAGCACTCAAGAACCATATCCAGGGGTAGATTTTGTGGGGGATTTGTGGGCCAAACCCTGCGAAAATTCTAGCCCCACAGGTTAGCTCAAGAGTTCCTGCCATCAATCACAGGTAAAGGAACCCGCAACCAGTCTGGACTGGTCAAGGCAGCAGCACCCAAATGTGCATCCTGAATAGGGTGTGGGGTGGACCAGGCTGCAACGTTCACCAGCTCATACAAGGCCAAATGGAAGGCCAGACTTTGCCAGAACCTGGCCTAAAACCCAACAGCATGTATGAGAACTGGGTGTGGGAGTGGATTAAGTGGAGGAACTTGGGAAACTCCTTTGGCGAGTCATAGCTCCTGCTGGTGAACATGTGGTCCAGACCTGGGGGTCAGATAAGCTGGGCAAAGTAGATCCAACAGAGGGCTGATGTATCAATTGGTAATAGAACAGGATGGACCTGGCAGGACTGAGCAAATCTTAGCCCACAAGCGAAACTAAAGACCAGAAAGGAGCACAGGTCATGCCGAGCTAGGCTCTTGTACCTACTGGTCTGCATGAGCCAGGAACGCTAAGCCACAGTGTCTAAGGCAGAAGTCGGGACAGGTGAGGGGCTGAGCCAAGCTGAGTCAGAGCAACCACTGGTATGCATGTGATCTATGGCTGGGAACAGGCCTGGTTGGGGAGCTAAGGGAATAACCCTAGCTGGGTTGAGGTTCCCACCAAGAGGCGCATGGCCTGGAATGGGGGCTGCATTCTGATCAGGAAACAGTTGTAGTCTCCCTTGGCACAAGTGTGGACTGGGATTGGATGCACCGAGCCGGGCCAGACTCCAACACCCTCTTGTGTCCTGGAGGACCAGGGTACATGTGGGATGGACTAGGCAAGGTCTCAACCCCTACTGAGCCATGTGTGAGTCATATGTGGGTATGGACGAGCCATGGCTGGGCTGAAACATCCAACAGCAAGGACCAGTTTGGGTTGAAGGCTAGTCAGGAAAAGCCACTGTTCCTGCTAGGACAGGAGGTGAACTCAGTAGGGCTGGCTCATGGACCCACTGGTATGTGCAAAATCTGGCATTAGGAGAGGTTCTGATGGAGGGGTCTGAGCAACTCCTCTGGCAGGACACAGACCCGGCAGGTAAGCGCAAGAAACATGATAGGAAACAGTCCAGAACAGGCCATGAAAAGTTACCCACTGGCATAAATTTGGCATGGGTCAGGGGTAGATCAGGCTGAATCAGTTCACATCATTCACCGGCAAATCCAAGCACCAGACAGTGTATGGGTCGAGCCGGGTTTGGTCGCAACAAAGACTAGTGCACAATACGGAATGCCAAGGTGAGGTTGTCTGTACAGGATGTGACCGCAGCACCCAACCAGCATGCGTGAGAATCAGGAAGGGAGGGAGCAGAGCTAGCAGGGGAAATATGGGGGGTTCCCTTGCTGGATAGCTACTCCTACTGGAGAGCGTGAGCTGGGATGGGGGCAGACCAGAATAAGCAGGGCTTCAGCACCTGTGCACCTCATGTGGACTAGATCAGGGAAAAGCCAGGCTGGGCTGATTATTCCTACTGGTACAAACAAAATTAGAGTGGGTGAGGGTTGTTTGGGCTTAGCCACAGCATCAACTGGCAGAAGCTGGCACTGGGGTCTAATTCTGTCAAGTCAAACCACAGAACTACCTGGAGAGTGCATAATCTGGGAGTGGGAGAGGCCTGGGAGGGAAATAGTGGGCTCCTCCCTCTTTGGCTTCCACTCCCATGGGAGGGCACGAAAACTAGGACAGTGGCTAGACAGAGAGGCACCCAAAAAGCATCTGTGTGGGCTGCATAGTAGAGCTGGTTAGATGGAACAAAGCTTTAATACCCATTGACATGTACAAGCCGAATGGTGTGTGGGACAGACTGGACTACTGCTACACATACTGACAAACCAGGGTAGGGGGCGGGCCTGATGGGGGTTATTGTGGGTCACTCCAACTAGGCTGCAGCTCCCACTTGTTTATTCGAGCGCTGAGTATGTGCTGGGCAGAACCAGGCTGCACTGCAACACCCATTGGTTCCAGTGGAAGTCAGGGCTGAAAACAGAACCAACCCAGCAATTGCAACCACCAGCTGATCAGGGCGATGGACTGTGTTGGGCCCTGTACTTGCTAGTACATATAAGAATCTGGTCTGAGAACACCTCAGACAAAGACAAATCTTCTTTGAAGATTTCCCCAATCGAAATGCAGGACTCAGAACCCTAACCAAGAAAAGACAGAAGACAGAACAAGTCAATCAACCATCTCAGCTTTATGTTGGCAGTGAAATACAGGGCAAATGGAGACTCTATGATGGACTATGTCAATCAGTGGATTCTCCAAAGACCTCATCATGCTTGGAGTGGCAAGATTGGCAGTGATTCATAACTGTTGAACTATCAAAACCACTTGAGCAAGAACCTCGGAGCATGCCCTACATCAGGGACCTGGGGAGGGTGGGAAACTGGGTGGGCCTTCTCCCTTAATACCCCCCTTTAAACATGAAGAAAACAATATGGAAATAATAGTCTTACCCACTTTCCTGTAGCCCTTGAACCTTTTTACCGTAATTAACTATGTAAAGATTGTCAAAAATATAATTAAAAATAAAAAATAAATTATATTCATGAGCTATAAAAAATTATGTAATATTAAATAAATTAACTATTTTGAGTTAAATAAAGCTATTTAACATTAACACCTATTTAACATTCAGAACAATAATGGCTGTACATAAACTATCAACACTATTTTTCTGGAACAGTGAGTCGTCATTTGCAAACACAGTCAACCATGGAGATGGACAAGTGGATTTCCCTCAATCCCTACAACAAAAAAACTCAGCACTGGGTTCCTCTGAACTCTTAACGTAACCCCTAGCTTGAAGAGCCAGTTTCTTCATCAGATATTAAACTGTTGACAATTTAAGACCCAGGTGCCCTGGGACTGTCTTTATTCAATAACCGAGGAATAGCTGTCATTCCCACATCAGTTGGGGGCTCAATCTCCCTATCAGTGGATTCATTTCAACTATAAGCAAACTATAAGCATGAGCAGCTTCCTAAACCTGTATAATGTCTTGGTAACCCCAGCCTTCCCACACCTTTCTGCAGGTCCTCCAGCCTGGGGTAAATGCTCAGGCCTGGGAATATAACAGTTAACCGCACAAAGGAATATGGAGGAAAAGGGGGCACCTTTTGGCATCTCAGTGTCACTGTCGGCTTCTGAATCAGATGCAATGGCATTCTTGCGCTTCATTCGCAGCACTTCGTCTTCACTATCACTGCCTCTTGCGGATTCTGCAGGGTAAGAATTAAAGTTCTGCATAACTGTAGTCAAAATGTAACTGGAAATTCTACATCTCAAAAACCATGGGGAACAAACTTTTTGGTATACTCACACAGTGAAATTCTCCTCAGCAGTAATCAGGAGTGAATCGCTGATATGTGTAATAATCTTGGTGAATCTAAAATGCGTTATGCTAAGTTAAAGAAGGCAATCGGAAACCGCTGTATACATCTACTCACTGTATGATGCCATTTAAATGGCATTGTAAATTCAGAGGACATGGCAGGTGCCAGCAATTGGGATGGGGGAAGGGAAGGGTGTGAATAAATGAAACAGATAACAAACAAGAACTTTTTAGGATAACTGTGATGTAACCTGACATGCGTGGTGGTGGGTAGAAAATGTACAGGTGTTAACACAAATAGTACGGTACAGGGCCAAAAAAAATCAATTTTCTATTGTCAGTTTTTTTTCTTTTAATTAACAATGAACACTGGTTTGTGTGAGCAGAAAATCTCAAATGACCAAAGTAGTATACCTTGTGATAAAATCTGTGTATGATTCATTATAGAGGGGGGATAATTTTGGATCGCAAAAACTGGTTGGAATATGGTGCCCACATCTTGGTATAGTTACTCTATAGGGACATTCAGCAGCATCAGTCCTGCTCCATAATCCTATCTTTGAGACAGTTAACAGAAATGAAACTAATTCCTTATCCGGCTCCATATCTATTTGTCTTTTGATTCTTTTTTTATCCCCTATCTAGCTATCTCTGATCTTATCATTAATTAATGAGAGAAATAAACAAATGGATCACAAAGATTAAAAAGAAGCAAAATGTAGAATTAGAAAAAGTTGACCTGGGGGAAAGTAGAGAAAGTAAGGTAAGGAAGGGAGGAATGATGGGAGAATCAAAGGGCCACTCTGTCTCTAGATGCTTCCTTCCACTGAACCACTCTGGTTCTCAGAAATGTGTTACCTGATTTATGGTCCTGCTCCTCCTCTTCCTCCTCCTCCGACTGCCTGTGTTCTTCATCTGAGGCCTGTGGCCGCTCCTCATCAGAATTCTGCATTTTCTCCTCGTCGGACGCCTGGGGCCGGTCCTCGTCGTCGGAATTCTGTTTCTCATCCTCGTTATCAGAGGCCGCTGGCCGCTCGTCGTCAGAATTGGCCTTCTCCTCCTCGGACAGCTGCTGCTGCTCCTCGTCCTCGTCGCTGTTCTGCATCTTCTCCTCGTCGTCCGAGTTCTGCAGCTTCTCCTCGTCCGACCCTTGGGCCCTCTCCTCGTCGTCGGAATTGTGTGTCTTCTCATCGTCGTCGGACTGGTCACTTTTATCTTCTCTGTCCCATTTTTCATCGTCTGAAGGTGCTTTTTCAGAACCGTCTGCTTCTGAGTGATGGCTGTCGCCATCGGATCGGTGGCCTTCATCTTCATCATCGTTGCCACCTTCTGACCCGCTGTGCTGATCCATGTCTGAGGGGTCATTGTCTTCGTGGTCAGAATGCTCGGAGGCCTCGGACCTGTTGTCTGACCGATCCGAGTGGTTGTCACTGCCGCTGTGATGGGAGGCGCCCTCATCCTCACTGTCATCGCCAAACAACTCCTTGTTACTTGGCTGTCCTGAGTCATCTCTCTCATCTTGATCGCTTTCACTCCCAGAGGCATTACTGCCAGAAGCGGCATTCTCTTGATCAGAATCTGAGTCCGATCCAGAATCAGAATCTATGACATCCAAGACATTTACAGTAACATTAGTGCAAGAACAAGCAGGCAGAAAAGACTCCAGAAGCCCACACTAATGTAAAAAGGACAAAGAAACAGGTGGAAACTGATTGAAGCAATGTTCTTAGGACTTAACCAAAAGTCACAGCAAACAAGGGAAAGCATGGTCAGGAAAAATTAGGGGAATCCAGTAAGAAGACAGAATTCTAGGGCCCGATGTGATGGCTCAACTGGCCAATCCTCTGCCTACAACTGCTGGGACCCCATAAGGGAGCCAGTTCATGTCCCAACTATTCAATTTCCCATCCAGCTTCCTGCTTCTGGCCTGGGAAAGCAATAGAGGATGGCCCAAAACCTTGGGACCCTACACCTGTGTGGGAGTCCAGAAGAAGCTCCTGGCTTCTGGCTTCAGATCAGCTCAGCTCCGGCTGTTGTGGCCATGTGGGGAGTGAACCAGCAGAGGGAAGATCCTTCTCTCCAGAAAGCTACCTTTCCAATTAAACAAACAAACAAACAAAAACCCTTTAAAAGATGGAGAACGCTGATATTTTAACTCCCCGGTGCCATCCTTCCCCCACCCCAGATCACAGATGTTTCCAAGAGAACATCCCATATTTCTGGGTATGCACATCAACGCCCCACCACTGCAGGGCACAGAACCAAGGTCACCCTATAGCTGTGGCCTATCTGGTGGCTCCTGGAGGGACCAGCTGGAGGGCTTGTCTTGACCTCACTTAACTTGGGACTGTGCCAGCTCTGAGGCAGCTGCCAGGGGGAACCTGGTCAGTAATATCAACAGGTGAATATGTTAGTTACCTTGGGCACAATACAGTTCACAACAAGGGCAAACCACACACTAATCCAAAAGGTTGGAATTATATATTGCTGGAGATAAAGGTCACATATAAGCCATGGCCATGTGCAGGCTCTGAACAGAACTGAGAAGCCCTAAGCCCTCAGGTTTTACTTACCTGGAAGCTCTGTGCAAGCAGGGGCATAGGCAGGCCATGATGTGAACCACGTGGCTGAGTGCTGAAAGCATGCTCCAACACAACACACTAATCATGAGCTGACCACTCAGCCAGTGCTACAGAAACATCAGTGGCCACAGAAAGATCACAGGCTTCACAAACTAAAAGTAATTCAAGAGTCACAAAGGAGCTAGCATTGCGGCACAGTTGATTAAGCTGTGATGCCGGTCTCCCAGGTTGGAGGCTGGTTCAAGTCCCAGCTGTTCTGCTTCTAATCCATCTCCTTAATGGTGCATCTGGGAAGGCAGTGGAGGATGGCCTAAGTGCTTAGAAATCTGCCACCCGTGTGGGCTACGAAACTGGGGTTCCTGGCTCTTCCACATGACCCAGACATGTGGGGAGTAAACAGTTGAAAGTTTATCTATCTCGATCTACTCCCCATTCCCCATCACTCAACATTTTTAAAGTTTATTTTTAAAATTGAAAGTTAGAATTGGAGACAGAAGGAGATACAGACAGGGAAGGAGAAAGATCTTCCATCCGCTGGTTCACTACCCAAATAGTTGCAATGGCCAGGGCCATCAGGCCGAAGCCAGGATCCAGGAGCTTCACCTGCCATGTGTGCAGCAGGAGCCCAGACACTCGGACTCTCTTTTGCTTTTCTCAGGCCATTAGCAGGGAGCTGGATTGGAACAGGAGCAGCCAAGACATGGACCTACGTGGGATGCCAGTGTCACAGGCGACAGTTTTACCTGCTATGCCACAACTTCAGATCCTCACTCTGCTTTTTCAAATAAACTTTTCTTTTAAAAAGTCACTGGGGAGTGAATCATCGGACGAAAATTCTTCCTCTCTGTCTCTCCTCTCTGTATATCCGCCTTTCCAATAAAAATAAAATAAAATAAAAAATAAAATAAAGCCACTTTAAAATTACTACTACAACTAACCACAATTTAAGAAAGCCTTAGGAAGGAAGAAGAATGTGATTTTCTAAGGTAGCACATAATGCTTAAACTACCTAGTTATCACCTAAAATTATAAAGTATGTAAAAACAGTGAAATTCAGTTCATACATAAGGGTAGAAACTGGTCCTGAGAAAGCCAGCCATGGAGTATGTACTCCTAAGTAGTCAATATCACCACATATAGGCAGGAAATTAGATAGATACTGAAACATAAAAACCAAAATGAAAAATCACTGGGGTGGGGGGGTGTCAAAGGAAAAATCTAAGCAGGAAAAAAGAGCTGACAAGCTCAAACCTAGGCCAGTTTAGATTCTCCAGTCTGAGAAGCAAGGAGGCAAAAGAATGAAGAAAAATGGGAAAGAAGTTGTAGTGCAACAGGTTACACTTGTGCATGGGATGCCAGCATCCAGGAAAGGAGTGCCTGGCATCAAGCCCCACCTTTGCTTCCACTTTGCCTTCCCACTGAAGCCCACCCTGGAGGCCGCAGGTGACGCAAGTGCCTGGGTCCCTGCCATCCCGTGGGAGACCCACTGGGTTTCTAGGCTCCGAGGATCTGAGCCCTAGCTGCCGCGGGCATTGGGAGAGTAAACTAGCAGATGGAAGACTTCCCTCCCCTGCTCCTGCTGCTGCTCTGCCTTTCAAATAAAAATTAAGGAAAACAAAGCAGATATTTCTATTTTAAAAATGTGAAGAAAAATGAACAGACCCTAAAAGACTCTGTTGTAGGATAAAGCGTATTTGAAGAAACAACTGCTGCAAACTTCCCAAATTTGTTGAAAAATTAATCTACATATTAAAAAGTTGAATGAATACCAAATAGGGTCAATACAAAGAGATTTAAGCCTAGACACATCATTGTCAAATCACAGAGACAATGAAAGGATGCTGAAGACAGCAAAAGAGAAGTAATGCGTCCAACACAAGCCATTTCCAATATGGATAATAATGGATTTCTCATAGGAATCATGGACGCTAGAAGGTATCCATGAAGTGACACTGCAGATGCTACAGGGAAAAGTCTGACAACTAACAGCTTTATATCCAGCAAAATTTTTGCTTCAGTTAGCTAAGTATATTTTAGAAACAAAAGAAAAAATACATTAGTGAACTCCTCAAAATAAAGTTTTTACACAACAAAGGTCACTAAAAAAACATGAAAGGGGCCCAGAACTGTGGTACAGACCACCATCTGCAATACCAGCATTCCATATTGGAGCACAATATGGAATTCGAGTCTTGGCTGCTCCAGTTCCAATCCTCCTCCCAGCTAATCAGGGAAAGCAGTGGAAGATAGCCGACAGACATGGATTCTTGCTGTCCACATGGGAAATCCACAGAGTCCCAAGCTCTTGACTTTTATGTCCATTTGAGCAGTGAACCAGTAGATAAAAGATTTTCTCTCTCTCTTATTCTGCTTTTCAAATAAATGTTTTTAATTGCTTCTCAGCCTTTTGGCTAAGATCAAATGTAGCATCAAATATTTTTAAGTGAAAACATACATGATTGGAGACAATATTTACAAACCTAGGTGAGAAAGAAACACTGCCATCTGTTGGTTCACTCTCCACGTAGCCCCAACACCCAGGAAGCGGTACAGAAGCTGGAGGCAAGGGATTCCTGCCCCCCACCCCACAACCAGGTCGTCAGTGTGGGGCCCAGGAATCTGCTTAACTACTGCTCCCAGGACCTACACTGGCAGCAGGCTGGAGGCAGGAGTGGTGCAAGGGGCCCAGCCCAGATTCCCAGGTAGGAGATATTCCTGTCTTCTCAAGTCATTTTTTCAAGAGCTACTCTGTGAGATTTGAAAATTTTTGTTTTTTTTTTAAATACGATTTATTTATTTTAATTACAAAGTCAGATATACAGAGAGGAGGAGAGACAGAGAGGAAGATCTTCCGTCCAGTGATTCACTCCCCAAGTGACCACAACAGCCGGTGCTGTGCCGATCCGAAGCCAGGAGCCAGGAACTTCTTCCGGGTCTCCAGTGTGGGTGCAGGGTCCCAAGGCTTTTGGGCCGTCCTCAACTGCTTTCCCAGGCCACAAGCAGGGAGCTGGATGGAAAGTGGAGCTGCCAGGATTAGAACCAGCGCCCAAATGGGATCCTGGAGCGTTCAAGGTGAGGACTTTAGCTGCTAGGCCACGCTGCCGGGCCCGAGATTTGAAAATTTTTGTAACATAGGGTTATACCTTACTGAGCTATTGCTTCCATCCTTCTAGACATCTATCAAGCATGCATTAAGTATGCAAACTAACGGGTGAGGAAGGGGAGACTGCCTCTCCATCATATCCCTAGCAAGGTAGCTGGAATATAATGAGGTGGGTGGATAAATACTTAGGGAATGAGTGAACAACCTCAGACAAGGCAGTCATGGCAGGCTTCACAAAGAATTGTGACTTCCAAGATGAGAGGGACACAGACAACCAGGGGGAACAGACGAGGGTGGTGGGACAGGAGTGAGTATACAGACTTCTTCCAGTTTGACAGTAACTAGAACCTCGGTGGCCTAACCAGGTGCAGCCTTCACACTGCAACGTAGCTCCATCGCTCCACTACACTCTATAAGCTGTGAGTTCCCAGAAGCCAGACCTCCACACGGTGCCTTTGGTGCAGACTCGGGAGAGCATCGGACCCTTGTCTCCTAAGCTTGCCTGCCTGAGCTCACGAGTCTCCTTGCTCTGCTTTTATGAATCAATCACCAAAATTAACTCGCTGAGTCGAGGGAGAGGTGCAGCCAGCCCCACAAGGGTCCTTGATCACTTTTAGCTTTCCTATTGATAACGTCTCAGAGATCCCTCGGGTTTTTCCAGGAACTCAAGGCCCACAGCCAGAGTTTACCACCTCCTGGCAGATGTGCAGGAACACAGATGCTGAACAAGAGGAGGACCACCAGCGCTGCAGACCGATCAGGAACTTGCACACAAGCTGAACACTCACACCTCAACCCCAACTTCAGCCCCGAAGACCTTCACCCCTAGCTCTGTAAGCAGGCTGGGAAGGAAGCCACTGACGCCCAGCTCCTAGCTCTGGACTTCGCAAGGGAATACCTACTTTGTTGCGCCAGCCCAAATCAATGAATGGGTTGCAAGAGAACCGACCCAGGTTTTGCAAAGTTCTACAACAAAACTGAAGCTGAACAGAATGGAGGAGAAAACTTTGTAAATGGAAACAACTACAATGGCCTTTGCTAAACAACACTACTTTGGGGATGGAGACGTGCCCTAGCACAGCAGGTTAATCTTTTCAATTGCTCCATTTGGGCTGCTTCACTTCTGGTCCAGCTCCCTGCCTGCGGTCTGGGAAAGTGGCAGAGGATGGCCCAAAGCCTTGGAACCCTGCACTCGTGTGGGAGATCCAGAAGAAGCTCCTGGCTCCGGATCAGCTCAGCTCCAGTCATTGCAGATGTTTGGGGAATGAACCAGTTTGATGGAAGATCTCTCCTTCTGTCTCTTCTTCTTTTTGTAATTCTGCCTTTCAAAGATAAGTAAATAAATCTTCAAAACTGCTTTGAGCCAGGAGAGTTGCAAAAACTTTCATTTTGGGGAGCCCCGTTCATTTCCAACAACTGTTACTCAGATTTCAAACTTAAGCACCCACAGACCCTGTGCCAGAAATACTTCCATGCACCATAAACACACATTTATTCATTCATTTTCTCACTTCCGCTCCAACACGGACCCCATAAGCTCTGCTACCTGACTTCACAACATCTGAATCCTGCAGTTTGTGCACGGGTGCTCGCGGGACACGGTGTCTCCGCAGTCCAGTCACCTGCCCAGACTCCTTCTCCAGACATCTCAAGCTGCCCACCACGCCCCGCTCCGGCGTCACTCGGGAGACCACTGGACCCCTAGGTAAATGCTCCCACCCCGTCCCAAAGTCCGGAGCTCCACATTCCCATTCATTCACACAGAGCCACTCGCCCTGCACCGCACGGCAGCAACGGCGCCCCGCGCCCCTGCCCCGCGCCCCTTCGCTCGCCACGCTCCCTGGCACCGCATGCTCCGTGGTGCCCCAGGACCTCGGGGCTCAGACACGGTGCGTGCCCAGCTCAGCCCAGCTCGCCCCGCCGGGGCAGGGTGACATCGCCGGCAGTGCAGGGGGGCGAAGGGGCAGCAACACAGCAGGCGCCTCCTCTCGTCCGCAGCCAGGTACCCGCCGCGTAGCCCTCCTCCCGAGCCCGGCCCACCCCACCTTTACGCTCGCCATCGCTGTCGGCGTCACTCCCGAAGAGATCCTCCATATCCGCCATTGCCGCTCACGAATGCTGCAGCCTCGGCTCGGGGCGGCTTCACGGCTTGCTTTACGGCACGGAACCAACGAAACGCGACCGTGTCGCAAAGACAGGCTTTAGCGCCGCGCCGTCTGTGGTCCTGTCGGTCCTCCGGGCCGCTGGCTCGGGGGTGGTCGGTGTACGTCTGTGTGTCCCCGGGAGGCGAGGCCGGGCGTCCCCGGGCGTCCCCCGGCGCCCGCGGCTCGTGGCGCGGCTGCATTGGGTGCTGGGCCCAACACCTGGGCCCTCCCAAGTCAGGCCCTAAGCCCTTCTATTTTCCAGAACTCTTTTCACCTGCTTAAAAAATTGTTGAATTCCAAACAACTTTAGTTTTAGGGGGGTTATATCTATGGTTATTTACCGTGTTAGTAGAGCAAATAATAATAATAAACAAGCTTAATCGGAGAGCAGCCCTCTCCCTTTCTCTCTCCCTTCCCCCCAGAAACAAGAAGAAAAAAAAAAAAAATAGAAGCATTTGTCTCAATCATTTTCCCCCAGAAGAAGTTCCTGGATCCCGGCTTCGGATCAGCATAGCATCGGCCGTTGCGCTCACTTGGGGAGTGAATCATCGGACGGAAGATCTTCCTCTCTGTCTCTCTCTGTATATCCGCCTTTCCAATAAAAAAAATAAATCTTTAGAAAAAAAAAAGATATAGTAAACAGTTTCAGCGGGAGTCCATCTTTATCTGGAAGTAGAGATGCATACTGCATTGTATCCTCACATCTGGATATGGTAGTCTCCATTACACAGTTATTATACATCCCTTTAAATGAAAAGCCACAAAACAAAATCAAAAACAGAAAAAAAAATAAAGAAATTAACAACACCAATGAAGTTAAATAACAAGCTATTGAATGACTAATGTATCGCTGAAGAAATGAAAAAAAAATCAAGAACTTTCTTGAAGAAAATGATGCTACTGTGTGAACTGTGAGTCAGTGAAGAATTTAATCAGAAAAAAAAGTGTTTTGAAGAGTTGAAACTAACAAAAAAATTCAAAATCCATGAGATAGTTTTTGTTGATCTTCGTTGGTGAAATGTGTCTCCTGTAGGCAACAAATAGATGGGTTTTTGTTTTTTAATCCAGTCTACTAATCTATGACGTTTGATGAGTCTAAGCCATTTACATTCAGGGTTAATATGAATGCGTGGTAATTTGCTCCTGTCATTCTAGCAATGAGTTGTTCATTGATTTAGCCATCTGTTGTCATTTTACTGGGATGTTCTTCGCATTTGCCTTTGCTTTTGATGGGCACTATTCCTTTTCTCTGTCAGGAGAACATCTTTAAGTATCCTTTGTAGGGCAGGTTTGGAAGAGGCAAACTCTTAACTTCTCTTTGGAAGAATTTTATTTCATTTTCAAAGACAAAGGAAAGTTTTGCTGGGTACGTTATTCTGGGCCGACAATTTTTTTCTTTCCGAATCTGGAATATGTTGCTCCATTCTCTTACCAGTAGAGTTTCTTGTGAGAGGTCTCCTGTGAGTTGCATTGGCATTCCTTTATCTGTCAATTGATTTTTTTTTCCTCACGTGCACATTTAAGGATGTTTTCCTTTTGTTCGATTGAAGAGAGCTTAATGATCATATGTGTTGGTGAAGATCTCTTTTAGTCAAACGGGTTGGGAGTTCTGACCCCTCCTGGATGTTGCTTCCCCATTCTTTCTCTAGATTAGGGAAATTTTCCCTTATTTCGCTAAATACATTTGTAAAAACAGTTTCTCTTTCTGCACCTTCTATGACTCCCATAACTCTTATATTTTACCTTTTAATAGTGTCTTTCAGTTTTTGAATACATTTTTTTGCCTGATCCATCTCTGCTTCCAGCTTTTTGTTTGTTTCCTTCTGGTGACAGGAAATATCTTCTTCTTTTTTTAAGATTTATTTTATTTTTATTACAAAGTCAGATATACAGAGAGAAAGAGAGACAGAGTGGAAGATCTTCCATCGATGATTCACTCCCCAAGTGATCACAACGGCCGATGCTATGCCGTTCCGAAGCCAGGATCCAGGAACCTCCTCCAGGTCTCCCACATGGGTGCAGGTTCCCAAGGCTTTGGGCCATCCTCAGCTGCTTTCCCAAGCCACACGCAGGGAGCTGGATGGGAAGTGGAGGTGCCAGGATTAGGACCGGCGCCCAAATGGGATCTTGGGCATTCAAGGTGAGGACTTCAGCTGCTAGGCCACACTACCGGGCCCCTATTTTCTATTCTGTTTCAGGGGTTTTTTTGTTTTTTTGTTGTTGTTTTTTTTTAATGTTGGTAGGCAATATAACCTGGCAAGTTTGTTTTCATGATTTTTTAACAGATTGTAACCTGTAACCGAAAAAAAACATTATTCAGATAATTCCATTGGCCTTTGTTTTTAAAATCTTGCAAAGAAACTATTTTTCTAGGAAAAATAACTCCAATTTTGCAGTCTAAACTCAGACAGTAATAGAATTTTCATGGTAGGTGCTAGACAAACCCCTTTACTTTGCAAGGGTTCAAAGAAATGATGTGGTTTGCACAGATTACAGAACCAGGGTTCTTTCAGAAACATTAAATTTTAGCCTAAAATGTACCTCTTGTTTTGTTACTGCCTAATAAGGCTATTATGAAGGTTTTGGTCTTGGGCAAGCAAGAATGCAGTTTTAATATGGGGATTATAAGATATGTTTTTGCTGCAAACAGGAGTGGCTGGCAGGGTTCAAATGTTAAGTATGAAGGTGTGGGGCTTATTATATTATCCATTAATCCTAAAATCGCCATACATAATGCAGTGATTTAGGAGTAGGTATATTGATCACCTTAAAGCTATCTGGGAAACTGGAAAAACAATGTTAGTAATTCGTATTTATTTGAGTTTATTCCTTGAGAAGTATGCTAATTAAGTCTTTTAATTTTTTTTTTAAAGAATTAACTTTTATTTGAAAGGTGGAGACAGGGAGGAGAGACAGAGAGGTCTTCCATCAGCTGGTTCACTCCCTAAATGGCTGCAGTGGCCTGAGCTGAGCTGATCCAAAGCCAAGAGCCAGGAGCTTCCCTTTGTGGGTATAGGAGCCCAGAGACCTGGGCCATTCTCTACTGCCTTCCCAGGCCACAAGCAGGGAGCTAAATCAGAAACGGAATAGCTGGCACACAAACTGGCACCCATATGGGATCCCGGTGCCACAGGGGGAAGATTGAAGCACTATGCCAAAGGCCAATCAATCCCCTGATTCAATCTTGATATACTGTGTTACAGCAAGGCCTGCTGAAGAATCAGGCCCATTCTCTTGACGAGCAAATCGTTGTGCTTTCTCTCCCATACCTGAATCGTGCAAAAGAAGCAAGTTCTGGATCCGTGATGGACTGGGTGAGTTTGCTTTTGCTAGACTGCATGTGCCGCTCGCTCTTTGTTCGTCTTTGTTCACACGGGGTAAAATACTGGAGATGAGACTGTTGCTAAGTCCATCACAGTCACTTTCCAGTAGCTGTTGCCTGGCATATAACCTGAGTTATAGCCAAGTCAGTGTGATTGAAGTTTAGAGTGCTAAAACAATTGTAGTGACTGCCAGGGAATTTTATCCTGTGTGGTTTGTATTTGACTAATTCAATTTGGAATTAGAAAATAAACCCTCCATTTGTTCCTGGCATGGAGAACCTTGCCCATTCGGTGGATAATTAACAAAAACAACTCCAGGGTAGTTTCACTTTGTTTCCCTGCTTTTGAAAAGTTGTTTCTTTGGTCTCATGTTGTATTTCATGCTGAGAAGACAGAATCTCCTGTTGGCGACTGCTGAGGCGCCATGATATCCCCAGTGGAAGAACAAAGGGTCCACTAGGTTGGTTACATAACACAGTCAGTATATCATTACAAATATTTATACAAGGTAATAAAAGCCCTTTAGAATTATAAAAGATATGATTACATCAATATGTACTTTTAAATTTGTATATTATTTCAAAGAGCTAGAAGAAAAATAATAGCTTGATTAAACAGAACATATTAACTGAAAATTCACTTCTTTTACGGTAAACTGCCCCTCCCTCTGCAGATGGATCATGTGGCTTTGGTGAAAGTACTTTGTGGGAAGAGTTGACTTTTCCAAGGGAACAGGTTGAGCTGCAGGGAGACAGGAAGAGGGGAACCCTGCAGTTTCTCCCCACAGCAGCAGGAAAGGATTGGGGCTGCTCGTTTCTTGGAAAACCTAGGACTCTGACTCACAGTCTGTCTGTATTAGATTCCTTTGGGGAATTGGAGCCTGGCAATGGGTGATGCAGGAACATAAAAATGATAGCAAACCCATTTTTTTTTTTCATATGAAAGAATTTGTCCTAAGGTTAAGAAGAGGCTGGCGAAGCCTCAGCCTGTGTCACCATCAGCCACATGGGAGCTAGTTCAAGTCCCAGTGGCTCCCCATCTGCTCCCGCTCCCTACTAATGGCCTGGGAAGGCAGTGGGGGGGGGGGTGGCCCAAAGCCTTGGGCTCCTGTACTCACATGGGAGACCAAGAAGAAGCTGTGGCTCCTGGCTTTGCAATGACCCAGTTTGGCTGTTGTAGCCATTTAAGGAGTGAATCAGTCGATGGAAGATCTCTCTGTCTAATTCTCCTTCTGTGACTCTGCCTTTAAAAGAAATAAATAAATCTTTAAAAAAGAAGAATTTGGCAGAGGGGAAAAACCACACACACACACACACACACACACACACACACACACACACACAGTCCTCTATTGATTCACTCCTCAACTAGCCAGAATGGCTGGGGCTGCCCAGGCCTAAGGCAGGAGCCAGCTGCTTCTGGTGTGGCTCCCACAAGCAGGGAGTTGGATATGAAATAGAGTAGCCGGGACTTGAACCTGTGCCCATATGTGATGTGGGCACTGTAGGTAGAGAATTAGCATACTATGCCATAGTCCCAGCCCCCAAACTACTGAATTTTGAAATGATTTTGTTTCATAGTAGTAGCAACTGCAATTCAGTTGCTTGAACATTTTTTAGTCTTCGTATTGTGGTTCACCAAAATGGAGGACTAACTAAGGAACAGAAAAGCTATTGAGGCAGGAATCCCAACAATAGAAAC